TAACTCGCGCTACGCGCGAGTCTGTATTAATAGTTTGATTTAATTCTTTTTATCTACTATCTTCTAAATTATTAAAAATATAATATATTTATAGAAATTTTTATTTATATAAGAGAATTTAATAAATAATGTGTAATTTTCTCATATTTTTATTTAAATTTTTTTGAAAATTATTAGATAGAATAATAACAATGACACATATCGAACTATCCAACTTTGACGTACATATATATTTAATTTAGAGAAAAAGTTTCTTGCTAAGATATTGATATTTTTCCTGTTTACCAGAGAATTTATATAGTTCTTTTTTCTTAAAAGTTTATGTGTTCAAATATGTAGTTTTTTATTGAAAGTCTTATTGATGTTTGGTATCACTGCATATATAATCCATGATTTATGTTCATTCGTATTTAATTTTGTTAGGAAGTTGCAATGATCACACAAAACCATTTCTTCCCTCTCCACCATGTCTTCTAAGAGTTTTGGCTTATATTTTTATTAAATTTTCATTGATATCTTTTTTTTTACAGTCTAATATTTTATAATTTTAGTTTTCTAACTTGTAGGATCAGTGGTGTGGAGTCTTTCCATCACTGTTTTTATCTTTTGTGTGCAATATGCATGCTTTGATTTGAATATTTTATCTACATATATCAATTTAAGTTTTTGGTTTTTTTTAACATAATTTTCTTTCCTATTTGTAACTTAAGCTTTTTTTTATTTTGATTTTCCCATCTATAAAATGAAATCAATGTTTTTCTTTTCTTGTCAATTAATTTAGAAGTTAGAATTTTCCTAATTTATATTATAAGTTTGAACTTTTATGCTATTGGTTTTTTTTTTGTTATTTTAACTCTTTTGAAAACAAATTTCTATTTTATTTATAAGGATACTATTTTTTGATTTTTAACATAATTTTCTTTTCTATTTGTTACTTAACTTTTTTATTTAATATTTCCATTTTTAAAACGAAATTAAGGTTTTAATCATACTTAACATTTTTTTGTTTAATGAATATGCTGATGTGGACCAATCAGATCGAGTTTTTTAATCTCATGTCGACGTTCTCAATGCACTATGCCATCAACTTTTATATATTATACTAGGTATATAACTCGTGCTACGCGCGAGTCTGTATTAATATTTTGGTTTAAAAATTATATATATTTATAGAAATTTTCATTTATATAAGAGAATTTAATATATAATGTGTAATTTATCATATTTTTATTTATAAATTTTAAAAAACTATTAGGTAAAATAATAACAATGATACCTATCGAATTATCCAACTTTGACGCACATATACATTTGATTTAGAGAAATATAATCTTGCTAAGATTTTGGTATTATTTTCTGTTTTTCATAGAATTTCTATAGTTTTTTTTTCTTGAAAGTTTATGTGTTCAAATATTTAGCTTTTTATTGAAAGTCTTACTGATGTTGTGTACCATTGTATATATAATCCATGATTCATGTTGATTCGCATTTAATTTTGTTAGAAAGCTGTAATGATTATATTTTTTTATTCAGTTTTCATTGTTTTAATTATTGAATCAAGTTGTTGTAGATTTTTTTTAATTGATAATTGATAATAGTTACTTTTTTATATACATATATTGTTAATCGTTAATTTTTTTATTTAACTTTTAAAATTTTCAACCATATTAACATTTTATGATTTAATAAATATGTTGATTTGGATCAATCAGATTGAATTTATTTTTTTTGTTGGACATAATTTGTTAAATTAACTTTTAATATTTTAATTATACTTAATAATTTTTTGTTTGATTTAAAAGCTGATGTGGACCAATTAAATCAAATTTTTTGTCATAATCATACTTAACATTTTTTTATTTAATGAATATGTTGATTTAGATCATTCAGATCGAGTTTCTTCGTCCTATGTGGACGTCCTCAATGCAGTATGCCTTCAACTTTTATATATTATATGATGATTAGCATAAAGTATCATTTTTGATTAGTAAATTTTTTTGTGTTAATTTTCTAAATAATTATGCTAAATATCAAGTTTTAGATGACTTTTTCTTTTGTTAATTTAACATGAATATTTTTTTGGTAGTATTGATATTTTTAAATAACAATTTTATATGTTTATATAAAAATTTAATCTTAATATTTTTTTAAAATATATATGCTAATTTGTTTTTTTTTTAATTTAACTTTTTCGTTATTGATTTACATATTTGTTTTTGTTAGTTTAGTTTTTGTGATAATGAGTTTCTATTTTTTTTATAAACGTTATAGATTTAGATTTTTGACTTAAATTTTTTTTATTTACTTAAAAAATATCTTAATTTTCTATTCTACTGTGATAATTTTATATTTTTGCATGTTATAATTTATTTAAATTATTAATAATATTTAATATTTTTATGTTTAATGAAAAACGCTGATATAGACCAATCAGATTGAGTATATATGTCATATGAAGACGCTCTAATTGGCCTAAGACATCAACACAGATCACAACTAATATATTTTAAGTTAGCAGTTCAAATTTTAATTGTTTGTCGTGATTAAAATTCAAAAATAATTTAATTATGGTTTTAAATACAGTTTTTAATTATTTTGTTCAATATATTTGATTTTTCTTTCATAATCTATTTATATTTTAATTTACTTTTTATTGTTAATAGAAAAATAAGATCTATTTTCAAAACTGTTTTTTATTAATAAAAAACTTAAAATTTAGAAACTTTACTAATAACAATAAAAACAGAATTAATTAAAATTTAGAATTTTTTCTTATAACAATTAAAACGAATTAATTAATTTTAATATAATATATAATTAACTAAAGATAATGATGATGTGTACCAATATAATTGAATATTTAAATCCTATGTGGACATCCTTAGAGACATTTAGCATCAACTTTTATTAGTAATAGATAGATTTTTTTGACAATGATTTTTTATTTATTTATATGTTGAATCCTTTAAGAAATATTGACGAAGATGCTCTTACGTTTATTCTGAACTAAAGTGAGCCAAACTATGTATAAACCAACATATTTAACCAAAATTTGAAGTGAACATCCTAAGCCTGATTCTGTCAACATATTTAACCAAAATTTGAATTGAAAATCCTAAGCCTGATCGGCCTGATAATAAACGGGCCTTCTGGATGAAACTTAACATCATCATATAATATATAAAAGTTGATAGCATAGTGCATTGAGGACGTCCACATAGGATTAAAAAACTCGATCTGATTGGTCCACATTAGCATATTCATTAAATAAAAAAATGTTAAGTATGATTAGGACGGAAGAACTTAATTTAATTGGTCCACATCAGCTTTTTAATCAAACCAAAAATTATAAAGTATAATTAAAACATTAAAAGTTAATTTGACAAATTATGTCAAAAAAGTAAATTCAATCTGATTGATCCAAATCAACATATTTATTAAATCAGAAAATGTTAATATGGTTTAAAATTTTAAAAGTTAAATAAAAAAATTAACAATTAACAATACATGTTTAAAAAAAAAGTAACCATTATCAATTTTAAAAAATCTACAACAACTCGATTTAACAATTAAAATAATAAAAACTGAATAAAAATATAACATAAAACTCTTGGAAGACATGATGGAGAAGGAAAAAACGGTTTTGCATGATCATTACAGCTTCGTAACAATATTAAATGCGAATCAACATGAATCATGGATTATATATGCAGGGGTACACAACATAAATAAAAAATTCAATAAAAAAACTAAATATTTGAACACATAAACCTTCATGAAAAAAAGAATTATAGAAATTCTATGGAAAACAGAAAATAATACCAAAATCTTAGCAAGATTATATTTCTCTAAATCAAATGTATATATAAGTCAAAGTTGGATAATTCGATAAATGTCATTGTTATTAGTTTACTTAATAGTTTTTAAAAATTTATAAATAAAAACAGGATAAATTACATATTATATATTAAATTCTCTTATATAAATGAAAATTTTTATAAATATATTATATTTTTAATAATTTTAAATATAATAGCTAAAAAAATTAAACCAAAATATTAATACAGACTCGCGCGTAGCGCGAGTTATATACCTAATATAATATATAAAAGTTGATGGCATAGTGCATTGAGGGCGTCCACATGAGATTAAAAAACTCGATCTGATTGGTCGACATCAGCATATTCATTAAATAAAAAAATGTTAAGTATGATTAGGACGGAAAAACTTGATTTAATTGGTCCACATCAGTTTTTTAATCAAACCAAAAATTATCAAGTATAATTAAAACATGAAAAGTTAATTTAACAAATTATGTCTAACGAAAAAAGTAAATTCAATCTGATTGATCCAAATCAACATATTTATTAAATCAGAAAATGTTAATATGGTATAAAATTTTAAAAGTTAAATAAAAAAATTAACAATTAACAATACATGTATAAAAAAAAGTAACTATTATCAATTATCAATTTAAAAAAAAAATACAACAACTCGATTTAACAATTAAAACAATCAAAACTAAATAAAAATATAACATAAAACTTTGGAAGACATGATGAAGAAGGAAAAAATAGTTTTGCAGGATCATTACAGCTTCCTAACAAAATTAAATGTGAATAAACATGAATCATGAATCATATATGCAGTGGTACACAATATCAATAAGACTTTCTATAAAAAAACTAAATATTTGAACACATAAACCTTAAAAAAAAAAGAACTATAGATATTCTATGGAAAACAGAAAATAATACCAAAATCTTAGCAAGATTATATTTCTCTTCATCAAATGTATATGTACACTTCAAAGTTGGATTATTCGATAGGTGTCATTGTTATTATTTTACTTAATAGTTTTTTAAAAATTATAAATAAAAGTAGAATAAATTACATATTATATATTAAATTTTCTTATATAAATAATTTTTTTTACAAATATATTACATTTTTAATAATTTTTAAAATAGTATCTAAAAAAGTTAAACCAAAATAATAATAGAGATTCGCGCGTAGCGCGAGTTATATACCTAGTTATTTAAGGCATACATTTGGTCCAAAGAAAAACATGTTTATTATAAACTTAACCAGCAACAATTACAAACCAAATCTACAGAAAAAAAAAAAAAAAAAAACACAAACACACACACGCACAAAGTGATTACAAAAACCCCGAAATTCAAAACAGTTATTATACTCGATTTTATGTTCCGAATATACTAACAGGTTTATGTCCTCAAAAGTCAGCGTGAGTCGTCAAATCTTCATCGGTTGTACTGTCTCGAACTCAGAATCGACTGGAAATAAAAACATATATCCATCAAATGGTTAGATCAGATTTCGAGCTACCTATGTAACATGATATCACCAAATAATAGTATGACTTAAAAGAAAAACAAATATATGACTATAAATTAGTAGTAGAACAAACAAAAGGATCTACAGGATAAAAAATATAGAAACTGTTTTTTCATACATTTTTTGTTATATTTAAAATAGTAAAAAACAGATTAAAAAGTTAGAGTTTTTATTCATTCAATACATATACTAATAGAAATTAAATATTTCAAGGGAAATATTCATTCAAACAATATTTTAATAAAACAAATTAGACCTTTTTATACATTACCTTGACTTTAGGATAGGGGAAGCTAGTTTTAGCACCACCTCTGCTTCCGAAACTGAATTTTGATTTCTTGTCATTAGGTTTCAAGATCTGAAAAGAACAAGTCAAATCATCGTCCACGCTCATCATCGCACCTGCATTGTCGAATTCTCCACAGTAATTGGGTGCAGAGAATATCGTCACGAGCTGCTTATTCGCAAAGAACTCAAACCCATCTTCAACAACCTGAGACAATTAATTGAAAACTTTTGTTCAGAAAAAAAAAACAACCTGAGACCAAAATCATTGTTTGCGTCAAAAGGAAACACACACAAAAGGTTACTTTGGTCACAAGTAACAATAAACAAACCTGATGAGCCCTACAAATAAGGTCAAGATCGAGTCTTTTGAGAAACTCAGAAACTGTATCCGATCCAAAAGTGTAAGAAACTCCACGATCGTTAGGTCCCCAACCTCTAACATCTTTATCAGGATCAGACCACAAGAGATCACAGAGTAAACCGCGATCAGGAATATCTGTTGGACGACGAATATCCCTGATCTGTCTCAAGCTAAGCAGATCCGGGGAGAGCCCACCATGCATACAGAGAATCCGGTCATCGATGAGTGCAGCCACGGGGAGACAATTGAAGCAATCGGTGAAGATTCTCCAAATTTTGACACTGAAACGGCGTTTACACTCATCGTAGAAGCCGTAAATGCGGTTAATAGAAGCACTTTCATGGTTTCCTCTAAGAAGGAAGAAGTTCTCAGGAAATTTGATCTTGTAAGCGAGTAAGAGACAAATCGTTTCGATGCTTTGTTTGCCACGATCGACGTAATCTCCAAGAAACAAGTAGTTTGAACGAGGAGGGTATCCTCCGTATTCGAATAGTCTTAAGAGATCTGAGTATTGTCCATGAATGTCCCCTAACCAAAGGATTCCATAAGAACACAATCTTAGAGAAGAGATAAGAGAGAATGGGAGAGAAGGGTACCACATATTTTGACAGGAGCTTCAAGGTCTAAAAGATTTGGTTGTCTCAAGAAGATATCTCTAGAGACGAAACAAAGCTGTTTGATCTCAGTTTCAGACAACTGTACAATCTTTCCTGGTTTCTCTCTAGCTTCAAGCAACCTATTGATCACCGAGTTTAAAGCAGAAGCATCCATTGATAAACCTCACGAAACAGAGTAACAATGAGAGGAAGAAACAGCAATGAAAGAAGCTCAAAGATTTGCAAATAAACAGAAGCTATTGAATATATAGAAAAAAAGTTTGGAGCTTTATGTTCTTTTATGCTGCTTGTGCTCTTTGTGATAAAGAACGGTGATTCTCAACTTGATGAAGAGGGCTTTATAAAGCCGCGTTGAAGAATATATTCTCTTCTTCCTTTTTAGCAAAGCCCATGTGTAAAACCCTTACCTACATTGTTCTATATTCAACTACATCATCTCATAACCAAAAATGTTTAAACAATGATTTAGATACACTTTCTTCGTGAGTTTTGTTGAGATTCAGGCTTGATTACGAATTCAAGATCTTTCACAAATAACTAGAGCGACGTGTAAAACGTTCTTTCTCCTTCGTAGTATCAAGGTTCTTGGATTCAGGGTAATTATTAAAACTTAAAAGCTTGTTTCTTGATTTGTTTGCATCAACCAACTTGGCCACCTACAAGAACATATTCGTTATGAAACTACCGGATGTGAGATGACACCACAGGAATAAACAAGAGAGAGATTAGAGAATATATTAGTTTGGCTTTTGACCTTTGCTTCCATTAGAACCAAAAGAGAAAGAGAGGGAAGATTCCAAAGTTAGGAGGAAATGAAGAGTGATGCCTCCTCTTAGGACTTCTAGATCATTTTCACTTTCTTAATTTGTATTGAATATCTAATTAGGACTCGGGTACTTAACACAAAAAGATAAAACAAGATTTCATCCATTTCCTCGCAATAATGCCACATGATCGAAAACAGAAAAACAAAATAGCAAACAAAAAGAACTTTCATAGTTTTCGCGGTATATGTACATCTCAGTCATAAACAACAAGCTTCTTGTACTCTTCACCTTTCATGGCTAACCACATGACATCTTCAGGGTTCACAATCCCACCTTCCTCGAGAAACAGGGTCAGTAGATTCTTCGAAAACCCGCTCACCATAGCCACTCCTTTCTGCTTAGCCACCACAGGTGTAGCCGACGAGTCCCTCAAGTTCCAAAACACAATCTCGGGAACATTCTCAAAACCCTTCTCCTTATACTTCCTCTGAGCCACCTCATTATCCGTCTCCCATTTCTCCTGAGACCGTTGCTTTGCCTTCTTCAAGCGCTCCTCGTACTCAAGCTCCCAATCACTGTCCATGCCACTGTCTTTTGTTGCACTATCGAACTCCATGTCGCTGAACACAAACAACCGCTTGATCATCTGGTCATCGGTTAAGTTACCCTCGACCGCGACCTTAAGAATCCGATCAAACACCTTCTGAAAATCCGTGTTCATTCCCCAATCCATTTGTTTCACAAACTCTGTCTTCTCTCTCAGGCTCGACCCGGTGACTAAATGAAGCTGCGGGTTTTCGCTAAAGGTGATAACTTTCCCTTTCCACGGCTCTTCGTTAAGCTCCGAAACCAATAACCCAAGCGCCACGCAAACCTCCATAGGTGTTCCATACATGCTCCCGGAGACATCGCAAATCGCCAAAGAGTTCTTCATCTTCCCTTTCTTGGCAACATCATCCACCAATCTCGCCCATTGAAGCTCTGCAACTTCAGAGCCAACTTTACCCTCACTATCATCCTCCTCAAGCTGTCTGATTATCTCGTGAGGAAGCAGCGCACCAGCAGCGATCTTGGCCTTGCCGGACTTCACATCTCCAAGAAACTCACTAAACCTCTCGCTATCATGCTCAACAAAGAGCGTCCTGTAGTTCTTCATAGCCACAGAAGCAACTCTATTGTACTTCAACAGATTCCATTCCTTTGCACTCATAGAAACCTCAGGCAATTCAAGAGCTTTATGCAATGGAACAAGAACTTGTTTCCTCAACCTATCTCTAATCCTATAAGCGTAATGAGAATCCTCGATTTCTTTATACTCATCTTCTCTAGGGAAGATCCTTCTAGCAATCGCCTCACATATCAAAGTAGTCTTATCATAAGAAGAATCAACAGAAGGACACCACTTCGAAGCTAAACCAATCTTATTCGGCTCGTTCGAATTCAAAAACTTCAAATCCGATTTCAGCAAATCGGCAAACAAATCAGCGATTCGATCAAAGAGTAGTCTGTAATTAGCATCGGATCTATACCTCTCTAAAGCTCTCTTGGCCTTCTCCAACTCTCTCTGTTTCCGTAAAGCCCTAGCCTTGATTTTATCGCCGGGACCAGAGAGCTCCTCCGCGTTTTCCAGAATCCGATCTCCCAAATCCCCAGAAACCTCGGAGCGATTCTTTCTCGTACGCTTGAATTTCCTCTGAATCTTATTCCTCCACGCCCGATTCGCCCCTCTCTCCAACTGTTGACCTTCAAGGATCCGATACAGAATCTCGAGCAGATCTTTCAAATACCCAAAATCGACGAGAGCAGGGAGATTCAAAGCTAGGGTTTTGGGGTGATTCTGGTAGAGCCAAAACGCCGCCGTGTAAAACCCTTCTTTGTCTGATTTCCCGGTTCCTCGAACGCCCCGAAGATTGCAGACGAGCTTCAACGTGGTCAACGGATCGTGAGACCAAGAAACCGCCAGCCGTTGGATCAGATCGACGGGAGATGTGTCGGGGACGATGTGGAAGAAGAAATCGAGGCATGGATTCCCGGTGGAGAGAAAAGTCGGCGATAAGTTTTCGGTTAGGCCCATCGGTGGTTTTTCTTCTCCGAGGTTTAGTGTAGCGGTTTTGGAGACCAGATTTTGGTCAACGGAAACAGAGGTTTCCGGAGAATTGATGATCGGGGCCTCGGTGGAGGCGACGGAAGGTGGGCCTAGAAGGATTGAAGTAGAAGAAGCCATTGAAGAGAGTAGAGAAAGAGGAATTGGTGATGGTCTAGGGTTTTTTCGTAGGGGTTTTGACTTTGAAGAAGCTTTTTTGGAGATTGAAGAAGTACGTCAGAGTATATACATATATAAAGATATGCCCTAAAAAGAAATGGCCAAAATATATGGAAAATATTTAAGATATGCAAAAATATGAAAATAAGATTGCTATAAAAATATATGATTTATCCCTTAACTGATTTTTCCCTCCCCACCCAACCTTTGTCCCCAAGTTTTATAAGCTTCTTCCCCAAGTTTCGTAAGTTTGCTCACCAAGCTATTCTCTAAGAGTAGAAATTTTATAAATTAATAAAGTTGAGATGTTGATATACTATTAATTTATTAATTTTAAACAAAATTAATAATTAAAATAATAATTCGTTTAAAATTTATAATATTTTCAAAATTAAATAAAAGTTGTAAAAATATTTTAGAGTTAAAAAAAAACAGTATATTTATAGTCTAGTAAATTATATTTATCAAATAACATAACAAAATAGTATAAACACTTATTAACTATTTTATAAATAGAACACAACAATATCTAACATATATTAAATAGGAATTATATTATAGATTGATGTGTCATTAATTCATTTTTTATCACTTTTAAATTTAGTTAATATATTAGGCTATTTTTATTACCAAATACTAAATTTTTCTACTAAACACTATATTACAAAATAATCTGCGTTAGTTTACAATCCTACAGATTTCTCTGAACAGGGGTTATTAGTTCTATGATTTTAATAGATTTAGAAAAAATTAATCAAATTCAGTGTTAATTCAGTGTTATTAGTTCTATGATTTTAAAATATATATTCAAATTCTATGTTATTGCATTGGTTCATGATTTTAAAACCATGAAATTGATTTTAAACAGGATTTTTGTGGACTTGGAAAGATTTCCATGTTAAGAATACAAAGACTCAAATCCAAAGTTAAACATATGATTTTGTAAAATCAACATGTTAGGTTTAAAAATCAATATATTTTACTAAAATTATATAGTTTTTTTACATTTTGAAAACGTGATTCCACTAAATATATATCATTCACAAGATTAAGCATTGAATGATAAAAAATGAAATTTGATATGCTATTTTTTAAACCATCTCTCACGTTTTAAATTTATAATTAGTTTAAAGAAAAATTCACTCATCTAAGAAATACATATCATTCACAATATTAAACACTGAATGATACAATGTGAAATTTGACATGCTATCTTTTAAACCATCCCGCATATTTTAAATTTATAACTAGTTTAAAGAAAAAACTATTCCTCTAATAGATACTAGCTTTTTAGCGTTTTGAGTTTATTCAGTTTTCAGTTTACCCATCCTATTGATTCTGCTAATTTATTATTTAGTTATTCTACTATTACTATTCTGTTATTAAATTGATATACCAATCAAATCTCTTGTGTTTCTCTAATTCAAAGACAATATTACATCTTTGTTAGATAGTATAATGTTTATAGCAATGATACAAAATTTGTTATGTAGTTAATGCATGCCACGTTGTGGTGTGATGACCGTTTTTTGGTTGGGTAAATGATTATTTGAAAGAACAATAAAAAAGGTAAGAAAATTATTTTTAAATTAATAATATATATTAGAGATTCAAAGTTTAAACTTTAATTATTTAATATTATACGAAATGATATCCATACTAAATATTTAAAACAACTATTTCAAATGCATATGTAATATTATACGAACTGATATCCATACTACATATGTAAAAAACATAAAAATCTACGCAAACTCATACAAATACATCGAGAGAGCAAGCCGGCGAATCCTGATGTTCTTTATTTATATATACACCTTTTTAATGATTGTTTTATTTTGATTTTGCTCTGTTAGTTCTTTGTTTAGTAGTCTTTTCTTTGCATTTTGAGTTTATTTTGTGTCTTTTCTTTGTTTACTAGAATTTGGTGCACTTAGAGTGTTTTTTGGACAAGTTTAATCACATAACCAATAGATATGAAGCCAAGAAACAACGAAGGAGCAGCCCAATACCTGTTACTATCCGAAGATAAAACCAGTTTTTTTTCCTGAAGCCAAGTTGACTGGTCACCAACCGCTCAAATCAAGCATTGCAACTATTTATCTTGTAAATTTTTTGGATCCAACCTGGTTTTTATCACAGGTCAACGTAATCTGATTTGCCTTAGTATACAAAGTTTTCTCTTAGCTCCTTTTATTTCGTAAACTTTATTCTAAGTTATGTTCATGGAGATTTCAACATTTGCATAGTCTACTGAAGAATTTATAAATCCCATCCGTTATGTTTTTCTTTGGTATGTGTTTCTTAATTTTGTTTTGTAAGACCAATAATTTACAAATACCGTAATAACGATTAAATCACGAATATAAAGAGATAATAAAAAAATCGATAAAATAAGTTAAGAAAAAAACTGAATGAATAAATTGCATAAACAATAAACGGAGTCAAGATTGATTTTTTTTTTAACTCAAAGAATCATCCGTACTATGACAAGTCTAATCATGATTGAGTCTCATGATACAACCGTTAAATTCCGAGTCGCAACACTCGATTTCGGGTTTGACAAAATTAACTCCACAATACTCTCGAAATTACTAACCTGATGCAAATGCGGATGAAAGGAATTGTGTGTTTGTTTTTTGCTCTGTATTTTTGATACCGAAAATCGGATGATCAGAAGAGAGGCTGCTGATCTGTATATATAAGGTAGAGAGGGGATTAAGGTTTTTTAGTTGAATCCACAAAATTTGGGTGGCACGTTTAGGGCATGATTAACAAAGTAGGCTAATCAAACTCTAACCAACCTACAGACCAAGAGCTCTAAGAGCCAAATCTAAAAAATGACCACGGGCCACAAGCCACAAGCCACAGGCTACGGGCCACGGCTCGGCCCAGCGGCGGCATGCGTGTGTATCCTCTCTTCCTCTCTTAACCATTTGAACCAAAGACAATGTTAGTCCTTATATATAGTAGCCAAAAACTTTCCAAACTTCTAATGTGGAACTTTGCTAGTTTTTGTTAGCTTTCCACAAAGAGTTATAGCCAATGAAAACATTTCATTTGTATTGGCTACAATCCATTCTTATTCACACATACAGAAATTGATAAAACCTAACAAGTCTTTATTGATTTTGTATCAACAATCCCCCACATGAATAGAATGACCTCTAAACATATGAAGTGTACAGACTCGATAAACTAGAAAAGACTTAACTTAGACTAGACACTGATTTGACTAGACTAGATAGACTTTTCGAGAGTATATCGAAGGCTAACTGTATCTGAAATAGTAGCTTCTCAGCCTTGAACCATTCATTGTTGATATATGACGGAATTACTCAGCCAGGTGGTGAACTTGATGTCTTGAACCGTGATATCTCTTGCATTTACATCATTTAGGCTTGCATTTAGTTCATGTTTTGGTTTCCTTTTGCATGTTTTCCTTCTTTTTAGTCCCATTTTTTGTTCTTTTTAGACTTAGGTTGCATTTAGGTTGTAGTTTGAATTCTCTATGCATTAAGGATGTTTTTAGGTACCAAAGGAGCTATTTGGAGCAAGGAGGAAGCATGGGGATGATTCAAGGAGTTGCCCAAGCTAAGGAGGAGCAAAAGGAGCCAGGGAAGAAGGTTTTTGGTGCAGCATTGATCATGACCAGAACAACATCGATCACTAATGATCAATGTAGCTCACATCGATCAAGCCTGGAATCCACATCGATCATATCTGGTCGATGTAAAGAAGCCGAGAAGATGGGGGTCCACATCGATCACATGTGATCGATGTAAAGAGACATGACACTCACATCGATCACCAGCATCAATCAAGGCTGATCGATGTAAACGAGCAGAGGCTTCAGGACTTTCACATTGATCAAGTGCATCGATCATCAGCTGATCGATGTCAAGCACCAGAGACCAGCATCGATCATCCACATCGATCATCCACATCGATCATCCACATCGATCACTTGCTTTAGGACTTTTGTCATTTACTATAAATAGGCTTGGACTAATGGTTTTTTAAAAATTCTTGTTCTTGCTTAGTTTCTTAAGAGTTTTTCAGTCTTTGTAAGAACAAGATCATCCTTTCAATCAAAGTTTTGTATTTTCATCATTAAATCTTCTCTAATCTCCCTCCTAATTATGTTTAACATCATTTACTCTTGTGATTTGGTGTTTTCATTGATGATGAGTGAGTAGACTTTTTAGGGTTCTTAGATGTGGTAGATTATGGGAATTTAGAGGCTTGATTAGGGTTTGTTAGTGCTTAATGAGGTTGATTCCTCTCTATTAATCTGTGTTTAGGCTAGATTTATCTTGATCACATGAATCTAGATTTAGGCTTCATCTTATGCCCACAAAGTGTTTGATGTGATGCTGATCTTGTTTGATAGAGGATTTACTGGTCTTAGCTCAAGAGATTAACTGTCTGAGAAGTATTTTGGCTTGAATAGAGTTGGTTTTGCATGCTTGTTGATTGTTCTAGTACTAATGAGAGTTAGTTCTTGTAATGATGATTAGCAAAGGGTTATTTGTCAAAAGATTGAACTTTACTTGCTTGATTGTGAACTCTATGCCTAGGAATTAGCATTGCTTGCTTATTTGCATTATCAATGATTTTTGAAACAACCTTGTCTCGCCAGCGAGGTAAGTGATTCTAACTTTCAAAATTTTCCATTCTGACCCACTTCTGCCAGCTCCAAGATTACAATCCCACCATTCCGCTCTGAAACATTTTGCATGTTTTGCAAACCAAAAAGAGAGCATATAGTTGTATTTTATTTGTTTAAAATTGAGTCTAGTTTTGCATATAGGCTGCATTGCATTTGCATAGGGCATGATGGTAATAAAATTCTTTGTAAAATGCTAAGTGTTTAGGATTGATATAAATGTCTAAGTGGTTAATTGTTTGATGCATCATGAGAATGTTAGAAGTTAAGACTGAACCATATTTGAATTGCT